GGTCCTGTTGATCTTATATAGTTCTAGGCATTCCAGGATCCAGGTGTGGAGCATTGAGTCATAGGCCTTCTTGTAATCAATCCAGGTGAGTCTGGTTCTGCAGTCTCTTATACTACAGCCTAGTAATGGGGAAATGGAAATGACTTTTGCTTCTGGGCAAATCTAAGTTATTTTTGGACAGGTATTGAACAGGTATCATTGTTGTGTGTTCTGGTATTCATTAGCAAATGAATGAACTCAAACCTAAAGCTGAGGTATGACAAGTAGCAGCTGAAAGTAGCCAGTAGGAAAAGATCTTTTATAAAATACTAATTACAGAGGCTTTAAGGAATCAGTCATTCATGTGGCAGATTGAGCTACAGAGACTCCACGTTGCTTTTGATTGAGTGTAGTAGTGTCTGTAATGTAACTATACACCAGAAATGAACAGATGATAGAACTTATCTTTTATTGATGTTGGCTGTTTATTTGAATTTTGTTATTTTAAACTTCTATCCTTCCTCTGTCGTACCAAAATGAAGTCTCGGTGTATCTGTCTTTATAAGTCAGTTACTGTAAGTGCAAATGGTGTTGGGTTCCAGTCTGTGGCGGGAAACAATAAAGCCAGCTTTTTTTTTTTCAATACTGACATCTCCGCCCATGCAGCTGTTAAGCCCAGAGTGCCGGTCTCACTGTGTGTAGAGACTCCATGGATACAAGCAGAAACAGTCCCCTGTTCATCCTTTTAAAAGACTCAAGCTTTGTGAGCGAGGAGAGGTGGATGCAAATGAGGGAACATGCGTGTGTGTGTGTGTGTTTAACTCTCTCAGGGCGGTGGATGTGTGAAAAAGTGCAGACCACAACACTAAAGTGCTTTTATTGTTCCACTTTGTGCCCAGTCCAGTCTTCTTCTACCTCTAGTATCACTGGAGCTTAACTGCTGTCAGGAGTCTGGACCTAAAAATGTTTGTGAATGTCTTGTTTGGAGGTTAGTAAAGTTTCTGGGCATGTTAATACTGTACATGCAGGCTTAAAGGTTTGCAGGCATGCAGGGGTTTTTTTGTACCTTACAGCATTTGTTCCAAATTTTTTGTGAATGCATGTGCATGACTTCTTGGCAGAGGGCAGGATGGAAATGTTCAATCTCAACTGTAAGCTGATAAACTTCCTCAATCATTTGAAAGAGAGGGCTGGTGTGGACTCCAAAGGTACTGGACTGAAATGCTGGATCATTTTAAATTGTTCTTATACAAATTCTAAAAGCAACAAAATTCTTCCTGCAGATTGTGTGGACCTGATGGACAGCAGTGGTAAAGTGATGAACCTGGCAGCCAAGCAGCACAATTTGGCTCTGGCCAGCAGTGTGCTGGTAGCCAGACACTACTACGTCCTCCTGCGAGTCTGCCGTGAGTCCGTCTGGTCCATCCATCAGCAGGACTTCAGAGGAACAAACACCCAGATTATAAAAGCATTTTCAAAACCTAATTATGTTATCAGTGTCTGGTCTAAATAATTAGATTCCAAATATATTGATGTAATGATGATAAGTGGCAGGACAAACTAATTCTGGTGCTTTCAGGGGTATCGTGAATGAAATGCATGTTGCCATCCTAATCCTTTGAAAGCTGAATGTAAAGTATGATTTTACCTATGCTTGAAAGCATGCCCGTGACTTCTTGTGCTTCCTCAGGAGACCATGAGGCTGGAGGTCAGAAATATGTCTCCCTTCAGAACAACAACAGTCAAAGTCATCCTGAATTAACAGGTAACAATAAAATAATATTAATGATAAGAATAACATCGGGGCTGTGGAAGTGGCTCTCTGAGGCCTCCTGCTGGACAAACCCATTCCTGCCATTGTGAAAATGCTACAAAACAAACATAAAGTTACCTCATGTGGTTTGTCATTGCTTCTGTTGTAGAACTGCTGAAGAGGCTGACTGACAAAGAGCCAGACAGAAAGACTAGAAAGAGACGGATGCCTCAGACCAAAAACATTCCTGCAAACAGCAAGAGCCACTAAATTTAACACTGTCAATTTATATGTATAAATCTGAATACTTTGCTATATTTCTATTTTAACTGAGCTAAAGTGGATGATTTCTTTTTAGTTAATAATAGTCAATATTGAAGAAGTTCAATAGAATAAGTTACATTTTGAGATTTTATATTTCTGCATTAAATTGTTACTGTAACCAGAATGTCACAGAGAGGTAAATTAGAAGTATGAGCTGCTGTGTATCTTCTTAGTTTCTTGTGTTTCTAAGCATTTTCCTTTTCCTCATGTCTTTTGTGGCTTCCTGCCTGTCTATGTGAGTTCCTTTTTGTCCATCTTTCAGTGACTTTCTGATATATTTTGAGAGCTGTTTCCTTGCTATTTTCTTGACTTCCTGCCTTTGTTCTCTTCCCGCCCTGCTTATTGTCAGATTCACCTGCACCTTATATTCTCCATATTGTGTATTTAGAACTGTGTGTACTTTCCCACAGTTCTTCCTCCCTCTTTTCCTGCATTTTGCCTTTTGGATTTTTTGAAATTTGAACCACTTGGATTAAACTTTTGCTACTTTCTGCAAGTTGGCGTTAAACTTTTCTTTGCGCTAAATAAAAAAAAAAAGATAATATAAAAATGAAATCAAACAGAATAAGTGCACTTAATGAATTACTGATGGAAAAATTGTCTCAGGTTTTTCTTTACCAGAAATCTATCTGCGGTGTATTACAGTCTGCGCGCTCCCTGCTAATACTGCACTGCCAAAGAATTAATGATGATGTGATTGGATTTGCCTGCATTGAGGACTTGCTTGCTGTGTTCATTAGGAAAACTCAAGGGAACGAAAGAAATTGAACTAAACTGATTTTCAGTCATGCACACAGCTGCGGGAACGTGTTAGATGGTGGGGTTGCTTCCACAGGATGTGGAAGGTGTGCTCTCAACATAAATATAAAAAAGATTTACATAAACATTTAAATGTAAATCTACAATGCATGTTTTCATCTGTGATTATGGTCCTTAAAATAAGTATAGAATAATCTAATTAAAAACACAATGTTTGTCCATGAAAGGATGTCTTGCTAATTAAAAAAAACGTTGTACCCCGTTTTCCTGCTGTGCGTTCCCAGATAGCAAGGAAACATTGAAACAATATTGAGTCAATATCAGGCGATGTCATTGAATCAACGTTGA